CATATCTTAGCTTTAAATGATTATTTTCAAAAAACCATAAGTTTTACACAATAAAGGCATTCAATATTCATAAATGCTATTTTTATAAAGATAAATATAATACTACGGTTGTGATACGGTTTTTAAAAATATTATAAATAAAAAAAAATGTGCGAATAGTATTTGAACAAAGAACGGTAAAATATATTCGCTGAGACTCACGAACACGTGTGCGCATTAACTAGAAGGTTCCTAAAGAAGTGAGTGAACTAGTATACTTGTAACATGTTCTTGTTTTACATGTTCAAGTCTGTGATGGACTCGTATACACGCTTCTTTGTATAATATGTTTTCCTATACTCTATGTTATTTAGTAAACAATCTTTGGATGTTGATTACAAGTAAATGGATTACCATGTATGCAGATTATTTATAAACCGTACTTTTTTATCACCAAAAAAGGTTTTAGGCTAGTAATGTACCGAGGTACGGAAAATCTTCATAAAACCTTTTTCAGTTTGATTCGAATACTGACTCGAATACTTAATATACAGAACTGGGATAACTGTATTCGTATATAGATTTCGAATATTTGTAAATATAATACTTGAATAACACTCGTATTTTTATTATACGATTATACTGTTTCAATATTATATTAATATTTTCCTAAAAATAAATCTTTTTTTTATTAAATTAAATACTTATTAAATTACACAGCAATTAAAACTTCAGCCATCGATTGAAAAAGTACCGGAATCTGGTAAAATATTTAAGCAACCGTATATTTAAATTCTCAGACTCGAATCAGGATTCGATTTTTTTAACGAATACTAAAATACTCGAATACCAAAAAAAAGACGACCTTGGCATGACAATATTTTAGATAACTTCCAGTACTTAGTACAAAGGGGAAATTATTTCCGTACAGATGAAGGTATACCGATGGGTGGGAAGAAAACCGGTGGGGTTGTATTTCCCTTGTATCTACAGGGTGCTATTTATATCATTAACTTTATTTTAAAGAAGTATTTTCCTAGTGAAATTAAATATTTTGATGTAACCTAGACACAATCCTAATCTTACATTGAATTGTGATAGAAATGATAAAATCATCGTATTATTATCATCATATCAGCCTTTAACTTTCTACTGCTAAACATTAGCCTTCCTCTTGAGGGGGTTTTCCCAGCAGTTGTCACGCTTGACAGGCGGATTGACAACCGCAGTTAGGTTTCAGAAATGTTTTAAGAGGGACGCTGCAGCTCATCCCTCGCCCTCTCTTAGTCGCTTCTTACGATACCCACGGGAAAAGAGGGTAACTTATTCTATGCTGAAACCATACGGTACCACACTTAGATACAATATCAGTACCTAATATCACTTTCAATGTTAACCTGTAAATAATATTGTGGACTGAATTTCACAATTACTGAGTTCAGTTCTTCTCTTTTTTTTTCTTTTTGTTTAAGATAAATTACAAACTTAAAACAGTATTTTTTAAATAGTTTAAACTCAATTAAAACTTTGTGCCGTATTTTCGTATCTAATTCGTACTTGCATTTAAATTGGTTTTAGTTTTAGAAACAAGAATTATTAAGGTAAAATGCATAATAAGAATATTTTTTTTTACATTTAACATATAAATAGAAAAAAGAACTTATATTTTTTTATATTAAAATAAATATGTTTCTAATCGTAATTACTAAAGTGTATACATACATATATGTCACGCCTGTCCCCCATTAGGAAAAATATTTATGACCATATTTAAGAATATATATATATATATATATATATATATATATATATATATATATATATATATATATATATACATATATATTATATTATTATAATATATATAATAATATAATATATTCTATATATTCTTATATATATAATATATAAGAATATGTAGAAAAAATCTTTCCTTTATCACTCGACATTCCTTTATACGTTCCCAGAGCCAGCGAACAACAAAATTACAATAGATATAATTCTTGTGAAATGTAGATACATTTTACTTAACGTGAAAACTTGATAAGACGCATATTCGCAATGGGATTAGTGAAATCCACACGTGTAAACGCGCAGGTGTTTCGAGGTATTAAACAAGTAGAGAACAAAAGAGTCGCGACAGCCTTAAAATAAGATTAAAATACGAAATGCAAATTTCCTTAGCGGCAAATACGGTTAGATAGAGTAAACAAATATTACTCGGTATATATATATGATATTAGGAAAAGAGATTTTAAGGCGTTTTTAGGGTCTTTATTTAAATGATAAAAAAAAACATTGGAAATCTTATAATATGTTCGGTGTTAAAGAAAAAGAAGTAAATGCATGAAATTTTAAATAATAATAATACAAATTAATAATAATTAAGATTTTATACCAGAGGGAGACTTTATACAAAAGTCGATTGCTTGGGTACCTCTGTCCCGTTTTCTATTCGTGTTTCTACCGTGAAGTAGTTGTGTTTGCATGGCTGTGTTTCGGTTTAAAGGGTGGGATATGGCGTGAATTTACAGGGTACAGAGAAATAACACCTGAGTACTCAGGAATGGCAACGCATGGGGAGATATCATGGGCGAAACAGTATACTCTATTATGTCCATGGTACTGCTCATGTTTATAGGAGACAGTTACCACTTTCCATCAGGTGGGTCGTCAGTTTGTTTGCCATTCTAAGTTGTATAAAAATTAATTCAAGATTATATTTATTACTAGAAATTCAGCCCGGATTCGCATGGATTGAAAGAATTTTCGAAAATAATATATAGCCTATGTCACTCGGTAGTAATGTTTATCTTTATAATATTATTATTATATTTTATGTTATATTATTAAATTATTATAAAAATAGAAAATCGTTTCTCAAAATTATAACAAAAATGGCAATCAACGGTCTCACGAGGACGATAATTAGTATTTCATATATCAAATGTTTTTATGTAATAAATTTTCATATTTTATAAATATATTTTGAAAAAAAATAAAATATTGACGCAAAACATATATCAGAGATATCAGTCATATTAAAATTTCTTTAATATGATTTTTCAAAATGACTAAATTTAACAATAAATGACGAGGTGATTCTACGTATAATTACAAAATTAATAATGGAACAATGCCACACTCGATCGTTTGCAAAAAGTATCGGCAAAATATATTAAAAATATCTGAAGTATTTGTGTGTAAACAACACTATAAACCTACATATGCCAAAATAAATATATATATAAAAATATATACCACACTTGTGCATAGGTATGGTTTAAAATGAACCTTTATGGTTATTAACAATTATAGTTTTTTATAAAAAGTATATTTGAAAATTAAATGAATAGTAATAAAAAATATCACATCAACGGACAGTGTTTTTATTTAAAAATTAATATATACAATTAATAATTAACTTAATAACAACATAAATAAAAGAACCAGAATTCGCATTATAAATAGGTATTAAAAACAAATCTCTTTTTGAAGTTGCGTTAAATTAGAACGATCTTTAATGAAGATGCAACATTGTCTCCCTTAAACCCTATATTTAATGGTACCCCAGGGTTCCTTAAGTACTGAACACTGTAAACAAGTTTACACTGCGTAATTGTTCCCGGGTTTTCCACCTCTACCTTCAGAATTTAAAGGCTCAAGTTATGTGCACGTGGTGTCTCGTATTTAGGAAAATGGGCGGAAAGCAGTGCCTAATTAAGTTTCTAATTAAATATTTATTTATTTATAGAAACTCTAACAGTATATTGCATTATAACATATTTCTAGTAAATTGTTTATATTTATAATAAGTTTAACTAGAGGAAGATTTTGTACAAAAGTCGATTGCTTGGGTACCTCTGTCCCATTCATGTTTCAACCATGAAGCAGTTATGTTTGCATGGCTGTGTTTCGGTTTGATGGGTGAGATATTGCGTGAATTTACTGGGTACAGAGGAATAACACCTGAGTCCTCAGGGATGGCAATACATGGGGGTATCATGGGCGAAACAGTATACTCTGTTATGTCCATGGTACTGCTCATGTCTATAGGCGACGGTTACCACTTTCCATCAGGTGGGCCGTCAGCTTGTTTGCCATTCTAAGATGTATAAAAAAAAATAAAAAAAATACTATTGTATTTTTTTAGATAAAATTAAAATACATAAAATTACATTGAATACTATAAATATAATACAATATTAATGCACATGACTATTGCAAATGTATGTGCAAAGGTATTCACAGCATTTCATCATCATCATCTCAGCCATTCTCTGTCCATTGCTGACCATAGCCCTCCCATAGACCATAGACTGTCATAAGGAACGGTCTTGAGCCACCGGCGTCCACTGACTCCATGCAGTGCAATTAAGGTCCTCGCTCCATCTAGTACGGGAGCGTCCTACACTATATTTGCCCGTATCGGGTCGCAACTTAAGAACCTTTCTTCAAGCTTCACAGCATTTATTTTACCATAATTATACAGAATGAAAAAAAAAAAATAACAATATAACAATACCTGCTGCTGATTTTCACCATCGTACTACCCGCCATAAACTAAAATTTCATCCCAACCATCTAGACGAGTGGCGGTCCTCCACCGTGCGTTTTTCAAGGCACTTTCTCCCACATCAGGTGGGCCGTCAGCTTGTTTGCCATTCTAAGTTGTATAAAAAAAAAACAAGCTGATTATTCCCAGTCCATGAAACTTTATTTTAACTCAAGATTCTTTGATATTAGTTATTAAATACTCTGAAAAAACTTGAACGTTAACTAAAGGATCTTATAGGACAATTTTTTACAAAGGTTAAAATAATATCTCTATTTAAATGCTCTGCTTTTTCATTTGTGATGATATCATAATACACACATACAAGTACATATCTGTCACGCCTGTCTCCCTTTGGGGTAGGTAGAAACAATTGAATGTTCAAATACTTTGATTATAATAAATTATATATGTATAATATATAAATTAATTTCATATAATAACATATAATTTTATCTTGTTTCAGATCAAATGAGACTCACCAGAAAAAAGTAAGACAAAGTTTGAACACTGATTGATATTATAGTTATTTCTTATTAATACTTAGTTAAAACTTTGAAAACCTCGTTCGGAGTTTCTCAAATTATTAATGGATATAATATTCAATCAATTAAGATATGAAAGACATTTAATTTGTCATCTGATATTTAAAGATTAATCCCTACAAAAAACTGACTTTAATTATGATAAAATCAGTTATTTTGGTTTAAAAACTAATTACTAATCTACTCAACCAATTTGGATAAAACTTCTTTGAGACTAATCTGTAAGCATTACGCTACTTAGCGAAAGCGGTGCACATCTCTGATGCGTAGGGTCCGGGACAGCTCTAACGCTATCCTAAAGGTATTTGCGGACCGTCCAGACTGCCAGTATTTGAATCGTTACAGAATGATTCACATGCTGGCTAACATCCAAAAAAAAAATAGGTTAAGTTAATGTTATTTATTTATAAGAGTCAAAATTAAATTTAATAATTTATATCTGGTACAAATTAATATTGTTAAAATTTTGTGGGCCCTGGTGCCTTGATTAAAGAATTTATTTATTATATCGATTCAGATAAAAAATTCTTCCAAATAATCCGATTTTAATTGCGACAAAATTAGTTATTTTGATTTGAAAATTAAACTACTAAACCGATTTGGATAAAATTTCTAAGAGACCAATCTATAAGCAATCTATTTCAGAAGAAAAAAGTTTTTTTTTAAATCAATTTAGAACTGACGGAGTTATGAGATAACAAACATTAAAAAAAAAATACAACCGAACTGACAACCATCTTTTTGTTAAAATGTGGCAAATTTGCTGGCGATATTACAGCAATATTCATGTACCGATACTTTAAACTAGACATAGGTGGTATTTTTACAATTCAGTAATTTAATATAAAAGATTATTTAAAGAGACTACAGCATACAGGGTTTTCAAAAGGACGCTAAAGAGATTTTCTCAGGGTCGGCAACGCGCGCATAATACCCCTGATATTACAGGAGTTCATAGGCTACGGTAACCGCTTACCATCAGGTGGGCAGTATGTTTGTTTGCCACCTCAGTGGTATAAAAAAAATATAAATACAGAATTGTAATAGCTAAAAATACATTATTCAACAATAAGTCCTATTCAGTATCCAAATATATTTATTATTTTATTTACCTGTTTGATTATTTATTAAAACTTTAATGTACAGTAAAATTCTATGTATATTTGACGGGCTTAACAACACCGGACAGTGTTTTCTACCAGTCAACCATTGGGCAAAACGAAAAATACGTAAGTGGTTCATTATTGAATAGAGGATAAAATAAAACAATACTTGATGCATTCCTGTAATATAAACATATAATTAGACTTATGTAAACATGCACTTAATATATTAAATAAATAAATATATACATACAATAAATACATTATTATTCATCTTGTAGTGGGGTTAAAGTAAACGTGTTAATACTTTTCTGTTCTTCTCCGACATTTTAATTTTAGTTTAATATAAATAATTATACTAAAAGCATTTTATGAGAGTTCCGAGTACATTTTTAATTGCTCGGCTGCATCCGTGAGGTATTTTATACGATGTTCTTTTAGGGTTAGTACGAACTGCAATTTTTTTTTGTACAAAATTTTTTCGCGTTTACATTTCTCTGTATACTTCTATATGGGTAGGTTAAATGATTTTTTTTCATTCTTTTCTAAAATATACAAAATATAGTTTTCGTAAATTACAATAATTAATACTTAAAAAAATGGGTGAAAAAATTAGCGCAGTAAGAATTCGTATTAATTCGTCAATTTAAATCTATATGGTTCTATTTTTTTTACAACACAGGGGGCAAACGAGCATGCGGCTCACCTGATGGTAAGTGACTACCGCCGCCCATGATCACTCACAACACCAACGGCATTGCGGGCGTGCTGCCGGCCTTTTAAAAAGGAATATGCTCTTTTCTTGAATGTTACGTTCTATGTCCTAGTATTTGATTTATGCTCTCACTTTTTCATTCAAATTCAACAAATTTAGTAAATTTATTATTATTATTAATTACATATAAAAATTCCTATATATATATATTTAATGTTATACTGTATGAACATTATTTTATAAGTTTTTATATAGCAAATAAATAAATAATTCATCATCACCATATCAGCTGTTAACCATCCACTATTGAACATAGGCCTCCCCCATAAGGAGGGGTTTGCCAATAGTTGCCACGCTTCACAAGCAGGTTGGCAACAGTAAAGATTTGATGATAATTTAGATTTAAGACAGTCGCACTGCATTCAGGTGAAAAAACAGTGGTTAATTTTAAACAGATACTATACGGCAGAGTAATAATAATAAAATAAACAAACAGTCAACTGAAATATTATGAACAGTTCAAAAGAAATTAATTAATGAAGTTACACATACGCACAGATATAATTCTGGGCAAATTTCCACGCCCACACAACGTTTGGATCGAGAGTCAAAATACAATCATAAATACCGAAACATCGTGCAACTTATCTGATTAACAGTCGACTCAGCGAGTTAAGTTTCTTCAGAACACCGGAGGGTAGCGTACATAATTTTATATGGAATTCGTAGGAAACATTAAGAGTTGTGAAATTTGAGATATAAACAAACCCGCAGGTGTGGTGGAGCGAAATTAAATACGTACTGTGCAAGAGAACTGGCCCCACATAAATAATTTGCCCTTTAATTTGGGAGTACCTATACAGTTGACGACGAGGAGTTAACCTTCACTTCCAGGTGCTGGAAATGATTTTTTTAAGCTTCGTAACCAAAAGGAGCTTTAGTATTTATTTATTTTTATTCAGCTTAGAATGACAAACAGTGGGGGGAAAGGGATTGTTAGTAATGGAGACTAAGAATCCCATTGCTAGCAATATACCCAACTAGGTCGACCTCCTCGCAGTTCCCCCTGGAAACTATCATGGTTAATTCCTGATGAATTTATCATGATGGGATAACTGGCCTGTTTTCATTCTCATCGATCACCCTTCACTGGTGCTCCGCCAGCGTATTCCGTTAGCGCAGGCGGGGTAACCATACCATTTTCACCCATAAAAAAAATGACAAACAATTTTTTTTTAGAGACTATTATAATATCTTCTTAGACTATTATATGTCCTTCAAAAAGGGCGTAATAAGGTATCTTAAGGATCAGCAAGAGGCTTATGTCATTCTGGTTTTGTAAACGTCCATAAGCTATGGTAACCATACCATACCGTATCAGCAGTTAATTGTCTATTGCTAAACAGGATTTCCCATAAGGACGGGTTTTTCAAGTAGTTGCCGCGCTTGGCAGGCGAATTGGCAACCACAGTTAGGCTTTGTTGACATTTAAAGAGCGACGCTGCTGCTCATCCCCATATTAATTTCCCTTAGTCGTCTTAAACGACACCCACGGAAAGGGAATGGGTGGCCCATATATGCTGAGACTCACGACAACTAAACATATAGACAGACAGATTATCGATTTTATTTAATAACATTAAATGTAAAGTATTTATATAAATATTTACTTTACTTAATATTATAAAATAGTTGTCGAAGTTATAACAACGCGTAAGTTTTTATATTTTATGCTGTTTTTTATTATTTTTCTTTAATTAAGAAATCTTAATTACAAACAATTACCTTATATTGAAACTTATTAATAAAAAAAAGCAATAGACATAGAAAATAAGATTATATTGTTTTTTTTTTTTGCTTTTTAAAAAATATTAAATTTCGACTTACGTGAAATTAAAACTTCAACGACGCTATGTCTATTCAATTAGTTTCTATTCCGACGTGAGGTCTTCGCAATTTACGCCGCTTATTTCATCTTGAGAATTAAGGTAAAAGGGTTTCTCCAAAGTGGTTCTGATTATGTGCCCAGTATGTAGATTTAGGAATGTGGAGAAGGCACAGTATAATCCCGGTGAAAATAAACGTCCCACGGTCAGTAAAAAATATATTAATTATCAACGTAATTATAAGTCTGTACAACAGAAAGAAAACGAGTTAAATTGTAATAAAACAAGTTATATTGATTTAAAAACTAAACTATTAAACCAATTTTGAATAAATGTGTATAGATATTGAATAAATGACTACAGCGTGGGGTTCTTCAAAAGGGGGGTAAAGAGGTTTCTTCAGGGTTGGCAACGCGCGCGTAATACCTCTGGTATTGCAGGCGTTTATAGGCTACGGTAACCATTTACCACCAGGTGGGCCGTATTCTTGTTTGCCACCTCAGTGGTATAAAAAAATGTGCCAAATTAATAAATATATATGTAAGTATGTATAGCCTTTCAGATAAAAAAGAACAATTTTTCAAGTCGTTTTACAACTCAGGGAGTTTTGAGATAAAAAAACATAACAAAAACAATACAACCGAATTTACCTTTTGAACCTTTTTTTTTCAAGTCAATTGAAAATATAAATAAGACAATAATAATCTTTGTAATTTGAATACGTACATTACAATAGTTCGTGACGATTAATTGATCTGCCAAACTTCAAGAGATAACAAACAAATAAAATTACTTGCACACTTATAACAGCTACAGCAGGGTAACCGACTTGACTAGACTCAAGATCTACTGTTAACAAAACCCTGTGCCATCTACCAATTACATACTTCTTGAAATATCAAATGAAACGACATAGTTCAATATACAATTATGTAGTATTGTATTATAGTATTTTTGGTTTTATTAAGAGGGAAAACATAAAACTGAAAATTGTTCTTAGTAACTACTTCTTTTTATTAGTGTGAGCATTGTGTCTGAGCATCTTCCGCTAGATTAGCAAAATATTATATTTTTGCCTAGCTACGATCGACTGGACTAAAAGTCTCGATCGACCACTTGTGTTGGCCACTCCTGAGGTACAGGCATTATAAAATAAATTATTACAAAGGTTATTAATTTATTTCCTTTCAGTTTCAGACGACATCAAAAAATAGGAGCTTCCAAGTTCAGTTACATTTTTTT